AGACATTACCGTCTGGAACTCCAATGTCACATTGTGAGTTGCCACGTCCTCAACTTGAACACTGTAAGATGTAGAATCTTCAAAAAAGATCTGATGCTAAATTGTTCATAGGAAAATACTTCTGACCAGTAAAGATTTTTTGTTTGTTTTTTGCTGAAAGTATACATAATTAAGATATGTTACAATTGTGTGACAGGAAGAAATTTAATAAGTGTAGTATCTCATAGATTATTACTGTTATCCATTATACAATTGTTAAAGACTCATAGAGGGACTCATACAGACTCATAGAAGAGATTGGTCCATTTGTGGAATGTAGATTTTGAGGCCTGTCGTGGCTGTGGTTTTGCTGGTGTGAGCTAGACATGGAGTCAAGGAAGAGGAAGAGGGGAAAAAATAACAGCTTATTTGTGGCTTAAAGGGCAGCTGTGCTGTCATGGGGCCGGATGAACTGACCTGGCTCAGGGCTGGTGTGGGGAGATTTTGAGTGAGCAGTCCCATTGGTAAAGAGAGGTATATAAGTGTTGGGGACCTGGGGGGACACCCACCTCCTCAGTTGCTGCGGGACATGCTGCCAGTGTAACTCAAAACTGGAATGAGAGAAAAGGAGTGGAGTAAAAATTTGTTGCTGGAATGGAAGGAGAAGCTGGAGAGAAAAGGCTGGAGAAGAGAGTGAAGACAGGGTTGCAGGGCGAATGTTGGTTCCTGTCTGAGATGAGGAGAAGACTCAGAGGGTGAGGAGAAGACCCTGGAGGGCTAGAAAGGATCTGGCTGGTTGCAGGCAGTGGCTTCACCTAAGGTCCTGGAGAGGGCAGAGAGGGGAATCAACTGCAGTACAGAAGCCCTGGTTTTGGAAGTTAACTATAGAATTGCAAATAATATTCCTAAATGCCAATTATAATTTCTAAAAAGTTTTCTAGATCTCAATTTTCCATTTTCCATGATTTTTTATCAAAGTTAGCAAGTTGGTATTAAGTAGTCATTCTGGATCTTTATGACCTAAAAACTACTGTAAAAGAAGATCGTTTTATTTCCCAAAGATTGTAATAAGCATCTTAAAAAATTTGAATGGAAGCATAGTCTCCTAAAATACTAATCCATCTGATTGGCATGACCTATTTTTCTAAAAATCAGGCCAGAGTTAAGAAATGAATTAGACTTAACACAGTGAAAAAAAAGTATAATTGGTAAAGAAGTATTAGCAGCATGCAAGTAATCTCTTTTAAAGGGTAGCAATTGGTGGAATGGTAACATATATACAAAAAAATGGCATTGCTATTCAGCATTCATAAATTAGAAACCATAATAATTTTTGTGTGTTGCATCAGGTTTTTGTTTAAATATGAAGTTTTTTTTAAAAAAAGACACAAAATAGGACAAATGTCACATTTATCAATTTGCTAGATTCATTTGTTACTTTTACATATAATTATATATTGCAATATAATTCAATTATTATCAAGCATGAAGATAGTAGTGTCCACAACAACCCATTATGTCAAAATGACGCATCGTCTTGTGTCATAAAGTCAGGCAAAGAATGCACTCAGAACTCAGACATCTGATACAAATATTTATATCATATCATTTGTTCCTCTTGCAGCTTATGCATGCAGATGGTTTATTGTTGTTGTTGTTATTTAAACTTGTATACCTCCCAACTCTCAATAAGACAACCATGGACTGGTGAGCTGTTAAAGAGCTGTTAAAGAGAAGTGGTGAACTGCCATAGAACTTTGTGCATGAGGGTTTCCAGGGGAAGAATGGTGAACCCTGCAAAAGCAGAGTGTCCTGGACAGTTGCTCCTTGTGAAGAGACCACAGGACAGTGGTTTTCCATGGGGTTGAGCGCCAGGAGACGATGGGATCAGTCTTCTTGTTCACAACCATGATGAAGCCTTTTAAAAGACACTAAGTTCACAAACCTCATTTTCTAATCACTTTTGGAAATTGCTTATTAACTATTCTAAAGCTATTAAAGACCTTTGGAACAACAGGTTTGAAAAGTCTTCATTGGGTGAGTTTATCTTCAACTCTGAACAAAAGAAAAATTA